AGCCGGGGGCGGGGCCAGGGAGCGCCGCCCGCGGCTCCTGGGGCAGCCTATACACCGCTCTGTATATGGCCCCATGCATGCATGCAGCCCCGCAAGTATCCATATGGTATATATGGGTATTGCATACCTGTATATGAATTGCAACAATCCCTAATACATTAAATCTATAATAATATCTACTATATAGAGAAACAGCACAGGCTGCAATGTGCAAAGATGCTGCTTGCTCCATGGTAAATGTGATTGTAAACATCCTGGTGGGACTACGGGAGACGGCCACAAAGTGAAGCGCCAAAAGTTCCACAGGAACTGAAGGAAAATTTCTTCACTGTGAGGGTGCCAGAGCCCTGGCACAGGCTGCCCAGGGAGGCTGTGGAGTCTCCTTCTCTGCAGATCTTCCCAACCTGCCTGGATGCCGCCCTGTGCCCCGTGCTCTGGGTGTCCCTGCTGGAGCAGGGGGTGGGACTGGATGATCTCTAGAGGTCCCTTCCAATCTTAAGGATTCTATGAATCTATGATAAACACTCCCAGGGACTGTGATGGGACTGGTCCTTCGGGGCAGCTGCTGCCCCCAGTGGGACCAGGGCAGCTTGCAGTAGATGCGCATCCCCTATAGGGGACAGCAGCATCTGAATTAAGCGTAGGGTGTCTGTCCTTGCAGGGGCTTTGGCCTGGGTGGTTACCAAGATATTCACTCCTTTGTATTACCAACACAGTCCAGACTTTGTTTTGAGTAATAACTTCCCATACACACACCAAATTAGTAATGATTTCACGTGCATTTACATTTAACAACACAGCCCACTGAGCAGAGAGATCCAAGGCAAGCCTTCCTTTCAGTCACAAGCACAGCCTATTAAATCAAAACACCATTGTTTTTTAAACAAAGTGTGCACCCTAAATTTACTCCTAGAATGAATGCCCAAGTTTATTACCTACAAAACAAGGCCTAGAATTCAAATACTGTATTTTCTTGTGGTAAAGAAATAATCAACTCCCTCCTGCCTAGAAATGGAGCAGGACTAGAACAAAATAAAAGGTTCATACAAAATTACAAAACAATTCCATTTTATTAAGAATAACTTACATACAAATAAATTATCTTTAAAAATACTATAATACACTTTTTATATTATGTTTAAATTAAAATGTCTTGAAAGCAGCCATGGCCTTTCCTTCCATTAGCAATCTGATTCTGCTCTTGAATCCTGTTCTAGTTCCTCTTCATCGTCTTCCTCTTCACTATCCGAGTCTTCGTAAAAGGAAATGGTAGCTTGAACAGGGAAGTTTTTCAGAAGTGCTTCAGCTTCCTGATACAGGTAATCATAACACCTTGATTTGGGCCAAAATAGCCTGAAACAAGTATATAATACATTTATTAGTTATTACATATCGTACTTGGAGGACAGCAGATGAGAAACAGTGCAGTTCTATCTAGCGCTTATATATTATCCATCCAGTTTATCCATATTCCCATAATTTCTCCCCTCACATCCTCAGTCATCACTAATCTACTTTAATACTTTAAAACTAAAAGTATTATCTGAATTCTTGTTTCTATTCAAAAGAAGAAAAATGCATCCAAAGCCCAAGCTTTCTAGTGAAACTACTCTGAAGCACCTCTCAAACTCACCACTGGTACCTCAATGGGATCCCCGTGACCTCAAAGGAACAACTGCTGGGAAGGTGTTGAACACAATTCCTAAGCTATTTTGATTAAATCAGTGCTTTTGTCATTGAGGGTCAGATCTTGGCTCTGGTTTGCCAGATCTGGTTTGATCTAAGGCAAGACTCAAGGTGGACAGGAAAGACAGTGTCTAAGATTAGGGTTAGGAGGACCAGGCCTTGATACTTCCAAACCCTGCCTTACCATGAAGGATCATCTGCTTCACTTCTGAAGGATGCTCCACGGCTCTAGATTTCAGAGGGATTTCTACGCTTTCCACAGAAACTAACTCACAAATTGCTGACAATATCACTGTTCAGCAAGGACAGTCAGAGAGCGAGGTTATGTCCCCCAGCTAATACATTCCATATTTCCTGATCCTTTTCGGCTAGCAGCTTTAAAGTAGCTGTCAGAAAGAAACACCACAGAGTCCCCCAGAGATTCGAAACCAGCAGTTGGGGACAAAAGCATGAAGTAAGGAGCACTCATAGCAGAAATAAGTGTATTTCTGTTAGTGACTAGAGGGTTTTCTAGCAGAAGGGTCCCTCAGCTGCCCCCACAGGACGGCCTCTCCCGTGCTCCACATTAACATTACTGCATTAACGTTGCAGGAACCAAGGCCGTTTCTCCGCTCGCAGGACTCCCTGAGCAGTAGTTCACACCTCTGAGCACACGGGCAGGCTCTGCAAAGCCAGAGTGATTGCTCAAGGGAGAGATGCCTCAGCACGTACGGGATTGGAGCTGGGATCTGCGAGAGAGCTGCATCTTATCCGAAATGACCACCCATGTCAACAGCTCCACCACCCCATGGGTGCTGGCTGGACATGTTCTCAGGGATACAGCCGTCCTCATGTTCTTGATGTCCTTATCTGAAGCCTCAGTTTAGTTCTGCCGAGTCCCAAGCTGCTAAACTCGGCTTTCAGGATGACTTCGGATTACGGCTGGAGATACCTCATCACCGAGGCCACAGTTACACGGATATCTCTCGGCAAAGCCCCCTCCTGCTCCTGCCTCCTCCCTCCTGCAAAATTTCCCCTCCAAGGAAGCAAATCCAAGCTTGGGCACCGGGAGCTTCCCACCAAGACAGCCCACCAGGTAACCCAGCTCCTCAACATCCCTCCTCCTGAAATTTCCTTCCCCCTCTCCGCGCTCCAGGGGGCAGGAATGAGCAGCAAGGTGCCTCAGTCACACGCAGAAAATAAATAAATATAGAAACAAGTAAATACATAACAATCCATCCTGCACCGCAGAGACACCGGGGCGATGCGGAACGCCAGTGCGTGCGGGAAGTCGTTTGCCTTAGGAATGCGGATGCCCCCTGGCCCTCCGAAGGCACCTAAATAGCTACATAAACATTTGAGGAGGGAAAAACACGCAGTAAATAGGGAGATAAAGGGAGGAGGGCGCCGCTGCTGCCGCCCCTTACCTGACGGGGTGCGCGTAGCGCGCCGGCTTCCGCGGCGCGCACGGGGCCCGCGCGGGCGGCCGCGCGCCCACCCAGGGCCTCCAGAAGGGCGCCGCCC